CGCGCTCGAACCAGTTCTGCGCCTTCTCCAGCTTGCGGTCCGCCCAGAACATGCGCGACACGGCGACCAGCAGGACGGGGTCGTTGTCGACCGCTTTGAGGGCCTCGAGGCTGCGCGGCCGCCGCTGGGTCCGGGGCTCCATGTTGGTGATCCGCTCGGCCCAGAGGAGCCCGCTCTTGGGGAAGAGCTGCTGCGCCTTGGCCATCATCGTCTTCGCCTGGGTAGTGTTGCCCGCCCGCTGCTCCAGGCGGATGGACTCGCACCAGAGCTCTGTGCTCTTCGGCACCGCGAGGCGTGCTCGGTCGAGGACGGAGCGGGCCTTGACGACCATGCCCGACTTCTCCTCCAGTCGTGCGTACAGCAGCCAGAGAGGGACCGAAGCGGGGACTGCCTTGACTCCGGTGCCGTATGCCTCTCTCGCCTGGCCGACCTTGCCGAGGTCTTCGTAGATCTGCCCCTTGAGCATCCAGAGCTTTGGAGCAGCGGGGAAGAGCTGCAGTGCCTGGAGAGTCAGGTCGAGAGCCGTCTCGGAGTTACCCAAAACTCGCTCGAACACGACGCTCTTCATCCAGACGCGATCAGTGGGTGCCTGCTCACGCGCAACTTCCAGCAGCTTGCGAGCTTGCTCCTCGTTGTCGCTCTCCGACTCCAGTTTGACTGCTGCCAGCCAGATGTCCTCGTTGTTCGGGTTCTGGTTAAAAGCCCGCTTCAGAACCAGCCGGGCACCATCCACCTCACCGGCCTGCCACTTCTCCTTGGCCAGCAGCATCCACAGCTCCTCGTTCTTGGGGCATGCTTCCACCGCCTTCTCGAGAACTTGCCATAGTGATTCCCGCTTGCCGTGATTCCTTTCTAGATCAGCCGCGGCTGTCCATAACGTCTTGCTGTTGACGAACACTCGCAGCGCATAGGCGTAGATGGCCCTTGCGGTTTCGTATCTACCTCGGTTGATGCTACCCCGAGCGTCCTCCATCCAGGTGTCCTTGCGGTCGTCATCCTCGTCCAGGCCCCAACCTAGAGTCTCGCGAATAATGTTCTCGCAAGTGGTGATGGCGCCTTCCTCCTCACACTTCTCAGCCTCGGCAATCCATTCTTCTCGCTTTGGCATGGCAGACTCCTTTGCGAGGACCTGAACTGCACGTTTCATGACGTTGACCTTCTGGCCTTGGCCGAGCTGTTCTTGTAGTCTGGCTGCCGCAATCCAGATTTCAAAGGATGTCGGGACTGCTTTACGGGCTCTATTGAGAACCTTTTGTGCATTTTCAGGAGTCTCGAGGCGAGCCAGGGCAAGCCAGAGGTCGACTGACAATGGGATGAGCTCAGTCGCCTTGGCAAGCAGCAACTTGGCATCGTTTGGATCATTCTCGAGGTTCACGGCTTCCTTCCACAAGGCTTCAGACTCAGGAATATGATCGAGGGCTTGGCGAATAACGCGCTTCTTGTTGCTTGGAATATGTTCCAGCCTCATCGCCTCTACCCAGAGCCTGACAGAGCGGTCGTTTGCTTCGATGGCCTGTTTCGCAATCACCTTGGCGTTGTGAGAGTCGTGATTGAGACGAATGTTCTCCAGCCATGCGTCTTCGCTCTTGGGGCACCGCTCGCAGCCCTTCGCGATGGTTTTCCTAGCAGCGACAATCTTGCCGGCCAATTCTTCCAGTCGGGCGGCGGCAATCCAACCGAGCGCATTGTTTGGATTCGTCTTGACAACAGACTGTAGAAGATCGCGCACACGGTTGATGTCTCCGACCTGGACCTGTGCTTCCGACATCTGCATCTTGTTCAAGCTCGTGATGTAACCTTGAGCATCGATGGTGCTGGCACTTCCCGAGATGGAGTCCGACCCTGCGCTCTGCGAGGCCTGCTCAAGCCTGGACTTGAGCACCTTGTCGCGTGCTGCACCAATGTCCGCAAAGTTGGTCATCGTGCCATCTGAGGAATCCCGCGTGCTGGAGCCAGCGCCGTCGTCTGCCACAGTCGTGCCAAGCTCCGTCGAGTCCCTGGCAGCGGCGAGGACGCTGTCGGGTACGGCGTAGAAACGCTGCCGCAGCGCCTGCTTGCTCCTCCGGTTCTTCCCCGTCAGGTCGCCAACTTCGGGCAGGTTCGCCCACTCATCGTCCGAAACGGTCGCCAGCGAACGCTTCAGGTCGGTGAACTGCTGCTGGATCTTTGGGTTGTTGCGCTCGTACTCCTCGCGCTCGGCCTTCTCCCGAGCTTCGCGCTGTCGTTTTCTCCGATCCATGCGCTCGTCCACCCACTCCCAGATCTTGTCGGCCTCCTCGTCGTCCTTGTCGTAGACGCCGCCCGCGAACAGCCCAACCTCGTTGTCCGGGTCCTGGTATCGGTCCTCGTCTTCGGCCTCATCGTCGGCACCCTTTTTTCCTCCTTCGGGGGCCAATCCTAGCTGCGCTGCACGCTTGGCGAGCAACTCTTTCATTTGGTCATCGCTGGGTCCCTCTCTGGTCGGCCCCAGGTCAGACCGGGTGGTGAACCCCGTGGCACCTCGACCCAGACCAGCGACATAGTTTTCGGGAGCCGGCTGGCTCAAGAAATCTCGACGGCCAGACATGGCTGCGCGGGTGGCTGTAGAGCCTGCTCTTCGATTGGCGGTGAAACGAAGGGGGAAAACGAGCTGGGAGATGTAGAGAGAGCGTGTCGCGTGTGTAGGCTTCCTGGTCGACAAACTGCGAAAGATGGTCAGACGTAGTTGAGGAATGGTGCTAATCAGCCAATCAGGTGGTGAAAAAGAGGGAAGCTTTGGGCTGGCCATTGCTGCCTAGAAGCGTAGATTATGAACCCGGTCCGACCATATTTCGCACCCCCGACTAACCAAAACCATATTAGGCTGATCGACAACGTTTTTTTGATATCAAAAAAAGACTCCCACCGCCCCTCCACCCAACCCCACGATCTTGATATATCAACAACCCGACGACGAATTTATTGCGATGGCCAAGGTCAAGCACGCAAAGCGCGGCAGTGCTTCCAGTACCCCGTACGAACGGCCATCGAAGGGCGGTGGCCCTAGCGCCAATGCCGCTGCGAATAAGAACACTGTCTTCAAGTTCAACACCAACCTTGGCCAGCACATTCTAAAGAACCCCGGTGTCGCCGATGCCATCGTCGAGAAAGCCTTCCTCCGGCCAACTGACGTCGTGATGGAAATCGGGCCGGGATCGGGCAACATTAGTGTCCGTATATTAGAAAAAGCGAAAAAACTCATATGCGTTGAACTCGATCCTCGGATGGCGGCTGAAGGTAGGGATTCCTTGGACGAGGGGGGACGATATCGCGGGTGGTGTCCTGGTCTTTACTTACACGGTGAATAGTGACCAAGCGTGTGCAGGGCACACCCGTTCAAAGGAAGTTGGAAGTGCTGTTGGGGGACGCTATAAAGACCGAGTTCCCACCGTTTGACGTTTGCATTTCGAATACACCCTACCAGGTCAGTTTATGTTGCTAGTTTTCCATATCGAAGACACAAACTAACATATACTTGTACGATATAGATCTCAAGTCCCCTCGTCTTCAAACTCCTGGCCATGCCCAACCCCCCACGCGTCTCAATCCTCATGTTCCAGCGCGAGTTCGCCCTCCGTCTCACTGCCCGCCCCGGAGACGCCCTCTACTGCAGGCTGTCCGTCAACGCGCAGTTCTGGGCCAAGATCACGCACATCATGAAGGTCGGCAAGAACAACTTCAGGCCGCCCCCGCAGGTCGAGTCCTCGGTGGTCCGGATCGAGCCCAAGCTGGGCAAGGACCGCCCCAACATCAGCTGGGACGAGTGGGACGGCCTCCTGCGCGTGTGCTTCGTCAGGAAGAACAAGACCCTCCGCGCCAGCTGGCTCGGCACCAAGGAGGTCCTGGCGATGGTCGAGAGGAACTACCGCACGTGGTGCGCCATGAATGGCGTCGCCGTCGACGAGAGCCTGGTGGAGGACAGCCCGGACGACATCGAGGTAGATGATGCCGGGGACGACGAAGACGGTAACGGCATGGACGTTGATGACGAGGATACCCCGGCTTTCTTCAAGGAGATGGCCTCGACTGAAGTGGCCAAGACGAAGAGCAAGAGGAAGAAGACCAAGGTGGCAGAGCTCGTGCGTGAGAAGATCCGCAAAGTCTTGGAGGACGTCACCGAGCTCGCCGATAAACGAGCTGGGAAGTGTGACGAGAACGACTTTTTACGATTACTATTTGCATTTAACGAGGAAGGGATTCACTTTTCATAGTTTTCAAGAGACGGGGAGTACAAAATGGGAGCGGGATCTTCTCTCACTTAGGCGTTTTAGGGTTTGTTCTTTATGGTCAATATATACTCCATTATGAGACTCCAACCTACTTCACGTATCAAATCACATAACGAGCTCGCTGATGTCTTTTCAATGTCATTATATTGGTATCTTATATCAATTTGTTCATCATCATTGAATCTTTTTTTTTGTCTTGTGGGCCGTGAAAGCCCATTTTCTCCCGCCAATTTTGGGTGAATCAGTCATTAGCCGTTAGATACATATACAAGGGGTGGTCGCCACTGCTCCTCTATCATCATTAAAGGACAAATGAAAACACCGCTTCCTCTTAGAGTGTTGAACCGCCCCTTGGATTAAGAACTGCTCTCAGGGCACAGCACTTGGTGACCTAAGTTGCCTCGGTAAGAGTCCAGCGATATCTCGCTTCAAGTAGTTGCCGGCTCCAGAAAAAAAGTGTTCATTGTTGGGTAAGATATTCCATTGCTAGGAACACCCAGAACTCCGGTACCGTCGCCTGTTCCGTAACCAAGTTTAAAAATATCAAGCAAATCAAATAAAATCCACGGGAAAAAAACCCCATCGCTGTTCAATTTTTGATAATCAGCCGTCAAATGTGTAGAAAATGAGCAATCAACGCCGGAATGTCCTTTAAGATGCTATGCCATGCGAGCTCAGTATACACGAGAGGACTTAACAAATGAAATACCAAAACGAAATCTCAGTTTTTAGAAACCGCAATTTCGTCCAGGGTTAAGAATCTAGCGTTGAGTTTGGTTTCAGGGACGGATCATTGGCCGAGTTTGGCTTGACAAGTTGTCTTCCTGAAACCGTAGCGCTGCGAACACGAGCACTCAATGGAAGGGTGTACTTGACGACGCCCTTTACAATGAGATCGAATTCGTCCTGATAGATCCGTTCCCAGCGCTCTGACCCCCCGTTGGTGCCATTTCCAGGGTTGGTCAGTTGCATTTCTCCAGTGGATGACGACGTTCCCTTATGGAACAAGGATCCTTCGAAAGTCAACGGACTATCGAACTCGGTGATGCGTCCAAGAAGAACATTCGGTCGCGAATCGTCATCATCAGTAGGAGGATCGTTGATTGGATCGTCTGAAGTGTGTACGCCACCGTGGCCACGACGAGGCATCCGCCACCAATCACCGTCGTCGTCGTCTTCTCCTCCATGCTCTGATTTGGCGAATATCTCCAGGTTCGCTTGATCAATGGTCACAACGACAATATTAGGATTATGCGCTTTGACTGTAACATCAAACATGAGCACCTGCTTGCTGGTAACGACGTTGTTGATCGAGACAATTTCAATATCAGTCATTGGCTGCGAAGTGGCAAACATGAAGCCGATTGCGCCAGTGATGACAAGAAGAAACATCATGGTTAGGACAAGGCACGCTGCGAATCGATTCAAGTAAGAAGGTCGACGAGAGAAGGTCTGCGATTCAGCCTGGCGCAAGCTGTGTGGCCCTCTTCTGTTGCGTGGAGACCTCATGGATCGTGTAGATCCCATCAAAGGTGTTCGTTCATCGTCGGCACCTGTTGTATCATCCAAGTCGTAGCTCGACAAGTGGATGTTGGATCGCTTATGGCTGAGCCCATGGTGATTCCTCGGGCTCGGTGGATTCGACGAGTTCCTGGAATTAGCCCCCCCGAACTTCGTTTTTGTTGCGTTGGGGAACGGGCCCTCGTTATCAAATAGTGATGCGTGACCGTTACCAGGCTGGCGTCCCCATCGGCCAATATGATGATGATGTCGAGCTGTGCCCCTGGTCGAACCACCCACGCTTCGGCCGGTGCCTTTCCCATCGTCCTCCACACTCAAGTTCTCCCCGCCGTTATTGCTGTGAGTGCTGACGAACTTCATGCCCTTCTTGGGTGCATGAGTGGCTCCCCCGTCCATAACACCGTAAATGGAGCGCAGATTTTGCCTATCTGCCTGGCTTGCCATTGACGTTGTGCTGGGAGTCCGTGAATGAAAGCGGCGCGCAGATCTGTCCGCTGCGCCATCCGGGGGATTGGAGTCGTATACGAAAGTTTCTTCTGAGTCAGATGTATTGGCCTCATCCACAGCTGAGGCGATTTTGGCTTCGAAAATATCGGCCTTGGAAGAAGCTACACAATGCCAGGTTAGTATTTCATGTTCATGTGGGCACAGAGTGAACCCGAAAAGTTTGCGCATAAAATGTAACACATATGGAGGAATACAATGGGTGACCTAGGACACGAATTGACACCCATCTCCATTGGTCACTTCCAACGAGTGAGACAAACATGGAGAACGTAGTTTGCTCGCGGAGAAGGAATTGCGACTTGGTTGAATTGAGTTGTGCTTACCATTCCCAGCATTCACTGCTGGCTGTTTCCGAGAAGTTCTTCTCTTTTCTTTCCTTGGCTTTATCGTCTCAGTGCTTGGTTTAGTTTTCAATGTACCATTGTGGCCTTCAGGCTTCGCCGCGAGCGCCACTTGCGGAATGCTGGAGACGGTTTCAGTCTCGACAGTCATGGCCTGGGTAGAGCCTTCTTGCTTGGGCTTTGTCTGCTTTGAAGACATTGCGCTAGATTGCCTGGATACCAACGGTGGCGGAACAGAGGTCGGGCGTCGGCCTTCAGACTTCATATTGCCTCCGTCACTCCCGCTATCTTGAAAGCTAAGGCTGGGGCGCGTTTTGAGCCTGTGGTCATGGAGCATGCTGTCGGAATGACTTTCCAGCTTCTCTTTAACCTGCGCTAAGAGCGCATTGTTGCTTGGGCTCGGAGAGTTCGGTAGGCTGACTTCTTGGACTGTCTCGAGTGCCGCACGCTGTGGCGTACGAGCACCTGATGGTAGTTGAGAGTCCTCGGTGTCACTCTCGGAGGGGGCATTGCTGGATTCTATTGGTCCAGGCGATGGTGTGGGACGTTGAACATTGACAATAGGCGGCTCCTGTTCGCTACGTCGTTGCGTTGGCGTTCCAGCTTTATTGACTTGTGGGGGAGGAGAACGTAAGCGAGGCGATACCGGCCATCGAAGGCCGTCCTTGAGTTCCTGCAGGCCGGGCTTCTGGGGAGTCGGGGCCTGGATCTGTGTATCCTGTTGGGGAGCTTGAAGGGTTGGAGTAACTGTAGAAGACAAGCTTCTCGAAGGGGTGTATCCCGACACACTTGAGCGCATCTGGCGAGTTGGACTGAACTCCGTCTGGCTGTTTGTACGCGATCGCGAGGGACCAAGTCTGCTCGCTGAAGTAGCCCTTCGGGGTTTGCGGGTTGGCGATGGCTCTCGGGAGGCTTGTGGAGACTGCGAAATCGAGTTGGTTCCTGATGAGTGTGCCGACTTCTGATTCTCCTGCCGCGGCCCGTTCATTTCAAGATGTGAAGTCGAGTGATTCTTTGTCATTTTGTTGACGTGACTTCCAGCATGGGCGGAAGCGCCGTTGGCGCCTGTTGATGACTTGTCCATGATTGGGATAAGATTCTAGAGTCGTGGGGGTGTTTGCAGACCATGCAATCCGCGCAGAGCGTGGATTAACAGCAGGGTCTATTGGCAACGAATATGTCGTAAATGTGGATCATCGTGAGTGGTTCGCCATTAACAAGCAGCTTGATGAATGAGGACGTGGTGATGCCCAACGAGGAAGTGTTGTATGCTGTCGTCGTGTGTGGGTTACAGGCTCTCAGGCGCGTCGGTTGTCGATCTGGCGGATTGGGGGATAGCAATGCGCACGAGTGGCCAGTTCAAGAGGAGGGTAGGAGAGCTGGTCACGAATCCAGCCAGGCGACGGCCGCTTGGGGGTCTGAAGGCACTAAGGGGAAGGATGGTTCAACGAGTAACGAGTGTGTGATGGATGGGGATCGAAGCAACAGTGGAATACATGACACAATCTATCCAGGTCAGGTCGGGTTGCCCTTTTTGCGGGTCGACAGGCTTGCTGTTCAGGGCGGCGGCGATGAGTGGTTGAGACTACCTTAGTCTTTTTGCGCAGTAACCCATGGAGGTACCTACGTGTTCACCCACAGCGCACACATAGACCCTGTTTATTTGCCTACAGCACGCTGTTTGTACCCTCCAACAGTAAAGGTGTAACGGTCCCTCCCGTAAGCATGTCCGCCACCCGCGCAGGACTCTTCCGTCGGACGGCCTCACTCTCGCCTTATCGACGAGTAAGTTGTCTACGGTAGGTGATTGTAGGTAGCTGGCAGCGCTCTCGTTGGGCCCTGGAAAGTCTTATGGTCCTTATAGGTATAGGTACATCCGTCTACTAAGACACCCCTGTCCAACTCAAGTCCCTTCCCCCCCCCAGACTTTAGCCAGGCACCGACAGGATGCTTCTGTGGCAGTTGACGAGCGGGTAGGAACCATGCAGTCGAAACCAGACAGGGTGGAAATATTTTTGCCTCATAGAATGGAAGACTTACCGAAGACTACAAAAGCATCAACTGCGAGTTCTGTTCTCTCATTTCCCTGCAATAAGAACTTCGGGAGTGCGGAACAGCCTACCTACCTGACATTCTGCCTTGTTTTGGCACGGATACCTGGTGGGCTTGTTTTGGAAGCCATAGCGTGGGCGGTCAAGCTATTCCGTCATCGATCTCATCGATTTTGTACATTGGTTCCTTTGGCTGTGAGACGGCCACATTCACTTCTTTCAATATTTAGGAACAGGTACCATGTGCAAACCGAATCCGCCAGGCGGAATGTATCGCACAGGGTAAACCCGCGATCCTAAGTCCTTTCCCGGTCTACTTGGGCTGCGCACAGCTTCCATGACCCGGAAATGGGTGTTTCCCCCTGGTGCCCGTCTCACCCGAAAGATAGGTAGGTACCGGCATCTTGCCCTGATGACAATTTTCCCTTAAAATCCGACCCGACCTCGGTTGGTCAGATGGGCGAGAGCTTTGACAAAATTTGCAAGACATCCACACCGGCAACCGTCACTCTTACATGGTTGGGCAAAAAAACCTCTGTCCGGGTTCCATGTTCCTTTTTTTTTATGCAAGGTCAATATGTGGGCATGTACTTTCATCGGTTGATCAGGTACTGGTAGCCAGCGGTATCGGTACAAGCTGGAAGGGCCTCGCAGTGCATTCACAGACGTTTAGTCCGGCGACAGCAGCCACATCGAGGTAGATTTGGTCCTTTTCCTCAACCACCCAGAACTTCGGTAACTTCAGGACCAGAGGCGTCGCTTCTCTCAGGAGCCGGCCCGTGACTTGCAATCTTCCTCCCCTTTCCCATTCCCATGTCTTGCTATCCCCAACGAAGGCAGGTCTTCAAAGAAGCGGTGATGAGCTGGCATATCGATTCATTTCCTTCATTTTACATAGTATGAGTTGGCTGCTAGTGGACGTCCGGGGAAATATCCGCTGCCTCGGATGGGCCGGGGTCGTTTCCTAGGCACGCTCAGAGGAGCTGCCCAGTTGTTATGGTGAAAATTAGCATGTTATTCTTACTAGGTTCTGCCCAGTAGGCTGAGAAACTAGGCTCCCCAATCTCTACCTGGCTCTGGTTCTCTTACCACTACCAGCGCTACTAGCGACTTTTTTATGACAGTCTCCCCAACAACAGAAGCCAGTCTGTCTGTGGCTACCTAGGCAGGTACCTTATCTTGGGGCGTCGCAAATACATAGTATCAACGGAGGCTGCTGTACAAAGCAAGGGTGTACGTGGTGGATTGCCTCCCGCAGCATTTGCTCCGCCTAGGTAACTCTCTATGGATCAAGGTCTTGCTCCCATGAATACTGGTAGCACGTGTCTGCTCGGTTCTGCAGGGAGGAGATATTATTATGCTGACACTCGACTGTCGCGGGCCGTGGCATGTATCATGCCGATCAATTTCTCGTTTTATGCTAATCACTGGCTGTTAAATCCTGATTCCTGGCGTGCCTTCCCGTTAGCCTACATGGTCAACGGCTTCCCAGAGCTACGGAACGTCAATTGAGAATACCGTTGAAGAGCTACCTATATTTGTAATGTAGAGATAATACACTGCCAGCTTTCAATATTCCTCTTGGACTCCCCGACTGCCACGTCAACCGAACAAGTCTCACATGGGCAGATATGCAGCAAATAGCCTATCGGCCTGTTTTGGATTCGTCGTCTTCCCTCCAGCTAATCATGACATGGGGGCGGCCGTTGAATCATCTCCCACGCAAGACTTACCCTACGACACACACCACCATGTCATACTGTAACAGAGAGGTGCCTGTGCCGCCTCCTCCACAGCCTCTCAGAGCTTGACACGACAACCTTGCCCCCCTTGCACTATGCTCGAGATTGCAAACAAATCGTTCCACCTGATGTGACCTGGATTTCCCCAGGCAGCCAGAACCGCATTCACATGCGACTCTCGTGCATTAGCATCACAAGGCCCCCTATTGATCGACGAGCAGCGTTAGGCTCGACACGGCCCGTCGTGCAGAACCACCAGGTTGCCAATTTGGTGCACCGGCTCTGGTACCCTGGCAAGCGGTTGAGATAAAACATGGCACACCAGAGCTCTGTTTGTGCAAGCTAGAGACTTTACTCTCTTTTGAATAATATTTCAAACAACAATAGTAAAGTAATTAATTAATATATATTATTTAGCTTCGTAATGTATCTCTAATTAGATTAATTATTTTGATATTGTGTTGAAATCTGAGGCTATATGGAGGACTTTGGTGTACCATGTTGTATTTCAGCCACTTGCCCGGTCATATCTCGCAAGATGGGTGTATCCTCTTGCAGCTATGCCAGCAGCCGAGATAGCTATGGTCAGGGCTGCTCCTTCCACATAATCCTGCAATCTTCGAGTCTTACCTTATCTCCCTCTTTGAGGATACCACTGTGCACCATCCACGCCAATCATATCCAGTTTGAGAACATCTAGCTCGCCTATAAGTTGATTCTTATATTTTGGTGCATCTTGGAATTGACCACCTACGCGGAAGAGGGGTTTTCAGACAGTGGCCCTACAATGGTCTAGCAGACTTTCCCAAGCCTGAAAGGTACACCTAAAATACAGCGTCTTCGGGGTGGCGACCATACACCGGTGTTTACATAGGTAGGAAGTGACCTAATACTCCTTCCTCTCCAGAATGTTCCCTTAACAGTCTGAAAACATCCTTACAGCAGAGTTGCAACAGAGCTTTAGTAGAAACAGCCTCACTAGCAAGTATTATTTTCAGATTTAACGAGTATATGCTCGTGTTGAAAAACATCTCTGTCTGAAAACTCCCCTGACCCGGCTAGGCAAAGAGCAGACACCAAGTATCGCCGGAACAAATCTACAAGGAGGGATCTCCAAGCCAGTGAGTGGCAAAGCGAAATTTCATTACTGAATATATATAGTATACCAGTAAATCGATATAATCGTGATGTGAGTATCTTAGCAGAGGTTCTCTTGACGGATATGGCCATACCAAGGCTACCTGCCGTGCACCGTAGAATGGTGCAGGCAGACCGATGCCCCTAACTACTGATGAGCCAACTGTTAACGACAGCCAGTCTACTGTTCGTGAGGATGCTCATTCGACCATTGATGATGGCCCATCGACTGCTCGTGAGGATGCTCATTCGGCCATTGATGATGGCCCATCGACTGCTCGTGAGGATGCTCATTCGACCATTGATAATGGCCTATTATCACGAGTGTCAACAGTTAATCTTCAATCTACCATCTCTGAAGCTAAGGACAAAGATATCGACATGCCGGATGCCCCTAGAACGCCTCGCCTGGGTAACCCCGGGGCAGAAAGTTGCCCCGTCCCCTCCCTCCCTTCGACTACAGTATCCAGAAGGAGTGCCTCTCACCTAACCCTTCGCCTTCGTAGTAACTAGACAGCTACATCGCAGACCTCTATACCAGCAAGCTGGTGTGTTCGCAGGATCCATTGGGATTTAATATTGACATGAGACACCTAATGGAAGAGTTGGTTATTAATCGACTACTTTCTCCAATTAATAGAGAATTTGAGAAGCATAAAAATAGAAGCAAGTGACAATAAATGCAGTACTGTATATTATTGGTACTCAATAATTTGATAATACTGGTCGCAGACTTGAGAATACCCAGCTTAATGTTTGAATGTTCAATGTCACCCACTTGACTGCCAACAATCCACCTAAAAGTTAAGATTATCTGCTTAGAGTTTGAATTTTTCCCCTTGCGAATACACGCTTAGGAAAACCAATCAAGTTCATCCATGACACTATCCCAATGTGCCCTCTCTCCATCAAGTGATCCATGCCTCAGTCAAGCCAAGCAATCTGTGCCAGCCCAACAACAATTTGAAGTTTCTTCACACCATAAAATTTGATAGCCATCATGGCCAGGTACAGAGTCTATATCAATCGCGAACCAATGCGTACACTTCGCCAAGGTTTGAAATCCTGCATAATAGTTTAGCTACATATCT